CTATAGCCACAGTCAGTCATTCAATCCTTCCTTCTTTCATTTTTGATTTTATGTCCCAAGTATTAGATAGACATTTAATAAAGGCTTATTGATTGATTATTTTTAAAGCTGCTATAACTTTGCCACAATACTTATTAAGTGCTTACTCATTAGTGTCAGGCCCTGCAGATTCAAAGACAGGCAGAACAAACAAACAAAAACAGTCCCCACCTACAAGGAGCTCATATTCTAATGGGGGAGGGGGTAAGTAATATGGCACAAAATTTTACATACAGAGTACATGCAATGTAAATGGAAAGTAAACCCATAAGTGAGGCACTAGCATTTGGTGGGGGGGGGTGCCTAGAAAGGCCTCTTAAATAAGAGGGAATATAAGTTGAGTCTTGAAGGAAAAACCACAGTAGCTACAAAAGAGAGCATTTTAGGCATGGGGAACATTCAGTACAAATGGTACAAAGATGGAGTGCTGTGCTCAAGAAACAGCATGAAGGCCAGTGCTGCTGGACTGCAGAGTTTGTGGGAGTAAGTGTTAGGAGACTGGAAAACTAGGGAGCATAGGTTGACAGGTTACATGCCCAAACAAAGGATTTCAGATTTGATCTTGGAGATAATAGGATGCCACTGGAATTTGCTGAGTAAGAGAGTCATCTAGTGTGAGACAGAGGAGCCAACCACACTTTTGCAGTATTCTAGAAAAAAGGTGATGGGGGTTTGAGTCAAGGTGGCAGCAATGTGAGTGTAGAGAAGGAGGCTTATATGAGAGGTATTGTGAAGATTGAGATGAGAAAAATGGCAATAGATCTGGTGAGGTGGTGGAGTGAGTGTAACCAAGTTGCTGAGAATGACTCTGAAGTAATGGGAGAATAGTGATATCATTGACAAGAATAGGAAATAGGGAAGAAATGAGGTTTTGATGAGATTAATAGTGAGTTCTGCTTTGGACATGTTGAGTTGAGATGTCTGTAGGACAACCAGCTCAAGATACTCAAGAAGAATTTGGACTGATGCTTGGGAGAAAGGTTAGGACTGGATATATGGATCTAAGAATCATCTACCTAGGGCTGATGTTGAACCCATGAGGAGAGAAGAGATCACAAGCAGAATAGTATAAAAGGAGAAGAGGACATAGAACACAGTCTTCTCGTGGTAGTAGACATGACTTCAGAGAAGATCCAGCAAAGAAGACTAAGAAGTGGGAAGATAGAGAGTAATGTCACAAAAACCTAGAGAATGAAGAGTATGTAGAAGGAGAGGGTGCTCAATAGTGTTAAATCCTGGAGAGAGGCCAAGAAGAAGGAATCATCCTTTATTGAGAAAAGACCCTCAAATGCCCAGATTACCTCCATGCCATTATGAGATCTCAGCCTAAGACTTTAGTGGATGGATCCTTTTCAACATCTGACAAATATTCATAAGGTAGCATAGTGTCATGGATAGAAAGCTGGTCTCAGAGCCAGAAAGACCTGGGTTCAACACTTGCTTTTGACACATACCAACTGGATAACTCTGAACAAGTCCCTTAAGCCACTGTGTCCTAAGCAACTCTAGAAGACTACATATACATTGCAAAAATGGAGCAAGCTTGCATGGGTAGAAGAGGCTCCCTCTATCAATGGAATTCGGGTTTCAATCCCCATCCACATTTATAGCTTTAATAATTCATAAGCAAGTCATTAAATGGAGAGGAATAATAGGTGTCCCCCACTCAAGTGCTACTCAGAGGCTTCATCATGGTTTGGAGATGACTCTAGGTTTTTGAAGCCTATGGGAATAGAATGCAAGTTCTGGTAGGTCCTAAGAATGTGGAAAGTCTTTGAATATTAGTCCAGTGCTAAAATGTGTGTTTGAGGCTGGGAACTAGCCCTCCTAAGCTCAGAGATGCCTGTCACTTATCAATTGACCACAAGGTAATACTTTTTTGGGGCCACAACCACACTTGAGATTCAAATTTTCACAATCTTTAGCTTTTGCTGTCTACTCTGATCTTATGTTAGATGATCTGGTTTACCTCATTAATCTCTGATTCTCAAATCTAAACTTTTAGACTCTAATTAAGGGCTTTTTCCCTGTGCCAGATGGGTCATGATCTGCATGAGTGGAAAGCCCAAAGTGATGAAATCATATATCTTTGGAAGTATTGAAGCAAAGTTGTCAGAGCCTTTTGCCATCCCTTCAGTCAGGAAAGACCTTATGTTCCACCTCTCTTGTATTGTGTCGCTCTAATCAATCAATTCAATTGATCAATAAACATTTGTTAAGCACCTACCATGTGCCAGGCACTGTGTTAAATGCTGGGAATAGAAAAAGAGGCAACAGACAGTCCTTGCCCTCATGGAGCTTACAATCTAAGGGAGGAACAACAATACAAATATACAATTATAGAAGTAATTGATCAATGTTTATTTTTTAAGTACTTAATTGACTAGATGTCAATCATTGGTCTAAGTGCTGGGAATGCAAAGAAGAAGAAAAAAAGAAGAAAAACAGTATTTAGTATGTGTTATTGTTCATTACAGTTATCTGTATATAGGCTATTTCTCCCTGCTTGACTATATGCTCCAGGAAGGTGGGGACCGTGCCTTCTCTCAACTTTGTTATATCCTCTAGTGAAGTGTTCTGACCTCAATGGCTTACTGAACAGAATTAAAACGAAAAGAATGTTACTTTCTGGCAAATGTCCTTTTTTGGTCAGTGTCAGAAAAGGTGTAATGGATTTGCTGTCCATTAAAAATGTTTTAAAATACCCAAATTCAAGGTATTTTATAAAGGACATATGAAGAAAGATGTCATCTACATCCAGAGTAAGAACTGATAAATAAAAGTGCATATAGAACAATTTTACATATGTGTATATAAATATACATATATGTATATATACATATACACATAGTTGTGCCTAATGGTAGCCATCTTGGGGTGGGTGAAGAAAAAAAAAAAAAAAAGAAATGGACATGATAATTTTGTTGTGTATTTGAAAGGAATAGCAAGTTGTGCCTAGTAGATTTTCAGTTTCACATGCAATCATCTTTTTTATTGTATTATGTTATGCAAAGGTTATTTTATTCTATAAATTAAAATAAATCTTTTAAAACAATTAATTAAAGGTAAGTTAGTAGTTTTAAATGTGTTGATAGTTATGTATAGATATAATAATTAATAAAAATTTGTTCACATACTTACCCATTTTCATTAAGTGATGCTCTCCTTTCCCACAGATTGGTTGCTTCTTAAAAGACAGTGTTACTGGAACTCTTCCAACAATTACTAGGAAAATACAATTTCTGGGCATTCCTTAAAACAATGTGTTTATCAAAGAAGTGGTAAGTTGTAGTTTACTTGTTTCAATTTGTGTAATTTAGTTATAACATGCCTTACCTAGTCTTTCTTCCTTTCTTTCTTTCCTTCCTTCCTTCCTCCCTTCCTTCCTTCCTTCCTTCCTTCCTTCCTTCCTTCCTTCCTTCCTTCCTTCCTTCCTTCCTTCTTCCTCTTCCTTCCTTTCTTCCTCCCTCCCTCCTCTTCTCTCTCTCTCTCTCTCTCTCTCTTTTTCTCTCTCTCTCTCTCTCTTTTCTCTCTGTCCTTTTGTTTCTGTCTCTCTGTCTCTTTCTTTTCTTGCCAGTTGGCTATGGATCCTCCATACCTTTGTGGAAGGCAGTCCCCCTGAGAATTTTTTTTTTTATTTTGAATAGATTTTTGTGGTACTATTTGTAGTACTACATTATCTACATTTCCAATCTATCCCTGCCATCCCTTATAACAAAGAATTAGAAATAAGGAAAAAAGTCAACAAGACCAATCAACACATCAAAAAATAGTATTACATGCAATATTAACTCAGTCAAGAAATATTTATCAAGTGCTTACTATGTTCAATGCACTGTACTAAGCTCTGAGGATACAAGGAAAGACAAAAGATAATCCCTGACATCAATGAGTTCATATCTGATATTTTATACTTGTAGACTCCTACATCTGCAAAGAAGAGGAGAAGGAGGTATTCTATGGGGAATTATATTCCAGTGGATAAAACACCATGTGGTTTTGTTTAGATTTCTTTTCTTCTACTTCCCATAGATAGTAGATGGATCCTCTGGGAATTCTCTATGGTGACTAGTGATATAGAAGTCAATCAATTTCTAACTAGAATTGAGCACAGATTATGTTTGAGACACTGTTCCAGGCATGGTAATGTTCTCCAAAGCCACAGGGATAACACTGATGGATAGGTATGTAGCTGAGGAATATTTATCCAGTTTTAGACCCTGGTCACACAGTCACTATATGGCAGAGCTGGGACTTAAACCCACATCTTCCTGACTCTGATAGCTCTCTCTTATACTATACCATAGCTGCCCCCCCATTTCAGAGACGAAGAAGGGACCAGCTTAGAGTCACACAGCTAGTAAGGTTCATTACTTACTAGTAACGAAAATGTCAAATAAATAGATTACATGGAGCAATTAAAAGAAGAGGTTTTAAATGCACAAATTAAAAGTAAAGGGAATTTGTAGAAAGACGCTATCTGCATCCAGAGAAAGAGCTGATAAATAGAAGTATGGCTAGAATAATTTAACACATGTACACATACATATATATGCACATACACATACATATATATACATATATATACACAGATAAATATACATATACATACACACACATGTGCCTATTTGTGTCTCATGGGAGCCCTCTCTAGCATGGAGGAGGGAGGAAAAAAGAAAAAAAAAGAAATTTATGTGATAACTTTGTGTATATTTGAAGAGAATAGCAAGCTGTACATGGTAGATATGCAGTTTCATGTGCAATCATCTTTTTTTATTGAGCTGTATTGTGGAAATGCTTGTTTTGTTCCATGAATTGAAAATAAAATTAGAAAAAGAAGAGATTTTTCTAATGGTGTGTTAAAGATGAAATACTTTCTTTCAGGGCCATTGAGTAAAGGAGTTACATTATTCCAATTAGGAAACCACATTAGTTCTGTTTGTTATGTTTCCACAGCTTGTAGCAAGGAGAGCCATGAAGGACTTGATATGAGAGGGGTGAATTTCAATGTAACCAAGGTGAACACTGTTGAAGAATGTCAAAAACAATGTACAAACCATGCCCTCTGCCAATTTTACACATATGCCACACAGACGTTCCACAGATTGGAGTATCGGTGAGCAGCAATCATCCTTGAAGATTCTGTTAAGGATTTTAATTTAAGCCTCAACTAACTCTTTTTCTAATCCAAATGAAGGACATTCCAATCTCACTTTTCTTCTTGGGATTCCTTGAAACAGCAGCTATCTTTGTGGGTGGGGCTAAGTCCTGATGAGGATGGGATCTCCCATGGGAGACAGTGAAGTCAACAACGGCATAGAGGGAATTTATATTTTCATAAGTGTCAAGCTAAATGGTCAAGCATGGTTCATTGCCGGCCTGAAAGCATTCCATCTTCTCATCATCCAAGGAATGTCCATTTTAGAATTCTATTCTAGTTGATGGGTTTGCTATGCCACATTGGATAGAAAATTCCCAAGAGTCAAGACAAGACAAGTTAACAAGCACCTGCTAAGCGCTAGGGACACAAAAACTTGTCCCTGTCCTCAAGAAGCTCACAGTCTATTGGACTAAATAATATGCAAACAACTATGAACAAACAAGATATAGAGAGCATAAATTATAGATGATAAGAGAGAGAAGGGCCCAGCATGAAGGGGGATTTGGAAACAAGAAAACTTAACAATGAAGACAACTCAGAATAAGTCCCTTCCTTCAAGGAGTTTGTGTTCTACATAACCATTGCAAAATATTTTTCATCTCGATTGATTCTCACAGCAACCCTGTGAAATGGGCAGCATAAATATGTGTCATCCCACTTGACATCCCACTTGGAAAAACTGAGGGGCACCAGAGTAAAGTGAATTTCCTAAGACTGCTCATCTATTATGTATTAGAGCCAAGACTCAAGCCCAGGTGTCTGGAGTCTCAGCTAAAGACTCTTTCAAACACAAAAGATGATTTTTCTTCTCTCTTTCAGGCTAGGCACAGGCTCTGTTCAAGGCAGTGTTCTAGGCATGGTAATGCTGTTAAAGGTATCAGTGATTTCTGATTATAGCTTAGTCCAGTTTTTACATGTCATGAAACTATGTGTGTAAAGGTGGGGCCTGACCCTAAAACTTTTCCTAGTCTATCTATTTCTTGTTTCTTTCCCCGAATCCATCCATGTTATGGTTTCCAAATGCTTCATCTCTCATTGTATTATTGCCAAGATCATGTTATTGCCGTGATCATCTTTATTGTAATTTTCTTTGGGGATTTGCCAAGGGAGGGGAATCAAACCATGTTACAGGTGGAAGTGTGAATTGCACTGCTGAACATAGCTTACTTCATTTTGTGACAACATTCAGAATGCAAAGAACAGATACCGAGCAAAATCATCAATGAGCTTCCTTTCCTTCTTGCTCAGAAACACATGTCTGCTGAAGCACAGCCAGTCAGGATTCCCTGATATGATCAAGATGGTGGAAGGCTTGGTGTCAGGATTCTCCCTGAAGCCCTGTGGACTTTCTGATATGGGTAATTACTTATATAGCCACCATTCCACATGATTTCTTGTGCAGAAAACAAGGAACACTTGGACAGAGCTTATGCCTAATGTGGCAGAGAATAAAGATTCCTATAACTTGGACTAATGGAACTCTGTCTCCTGGGATGGATGGATAATTCACCTGGTATTATTGAGAGGATTATCTCTAATGCTCATTTTAATTCATGTATCTATAGATAGCATTAATTATGGTAACATTATTAAAACCAGAGAAGCTGCAGCAAGGCCAGGGGGCTGTCTCCCTGTTTCATCAGCCCTCATTCAATATCTTCACACTGATCCCTCTTTTCCCAAGACAATCCTCTCTGGCCCCCAAATTGCCTGGAATGTCCTCTCAATTTCCAGCCTACTGTCAAAACTTCCTATCCCCAGTAAGTGATAATGCATTAGCACAAATTCTGATACTACTGACAAATAGAATGCATGAAATAGGTTTTCAGCATCATTGTAGATTTAGAGCTATAAGGGACCCCAGAAGTCATCTAGTTGAATCCTCTCATTTTACAATCATGGAAACTGAGTTCCAGAGAGGCTAAGTGATTTACCTGAGGTCACACAGATGAGTAAGTAGCACACCCAGTATTTGAACCCATATCTACTGTCTCCAGATGCAATCCTCATTCCTTTGCACCACATGGTGCTTTTAAGGCGTGATACTGATGTACCCCAAGGGAATCTGGGATGCAAGAGGTTAACTAGGCTGATGCTAGGCAGAGGAAGGGGTAGGGCACAGGTCAGAGGATCTGGGGAAGTAGATGTCAGTAAGAAGAATATCTTGTTCATTTAGTATACTATATTTTCCATAGTAGACAGGAGGAAGGTCTGTTTACTAGTGCTGGTAGAAAACACAACTCAACCTAGGGAGCTAGGCTGTTTGTTTATTAGGGTGTTTTTTTTGGCTAGGCAACAGGGTTAAGTGACTTGCCTAGGGTCACACAGCTAGTAAGTGTTATGTGTCTGAGGCCAGATTTGAACTCAGGTCCTCCTGAATCCACTGTGTTGCCTAGCTGCCTCCTTTTATTAGTTTTTTTTTAAAGAAGAGACTAAACCATGAGGAGGGAAACAAGTCGAGGCCCAAAATTCACAGGGCTAAGATCCAAGCAGTGGAAGTCCAGAAGTTATGTTGGAACATGCAGAGAGACATATGAACAAAAGTCCTGAGATATGGCCTGACCAAAGGCCAGTGAGAGTGATGCTTCACTGGCTGCTGCAGACATTTCTGGTGCCTTTTCCTCTTCTTGTACTTTAAGGGGAGTGTTTTCACTGGGTCCTTACATGTGGATGGGAACTGAGAGAGAGTAGAGACTTTAGGTAGGACAATAGATAAGTTAGTTTTGTCAGGGAGGATTTCTGCATCCCTTCTATATTACCTCATCCTCCACTTCATCTTTTGCCTTTGTGTTCGTATCCTCTAACTCAGTGTCTGACATAGTAGGTGTTAAAATGCCCATTGATTGATTGCTTGTAAGACTGTCCATGAAACAAATTAAGACATTCGAATGAAGATTTTTGAGAGATATCTGAGAAAACAGGATCATCTAGGGCTGACTTTAAGTTAGGGTTAAAAATCATTGAAATTTTATGATCTAAAGAATTGGCTAATACTCACAGGCTTCCTTCTTCAACTTTCTATCTTAGGCAAATTTTACAATTTATCAGCATAATCATCCACTTAAGAGTTACTCCAGTGTCTCATTCTGATGTCATCCTTCAACTGAGACTGCTGTCTCTTCAAAGTTACTAACAATCTCTTAATTGCCAGGTCTAAAGGCCTTTTCTCAGACCCCATCCTTCTTGCCTCTGCAGTTTTTGACACTGTTGATCACCCTCTCCTCCTCATACTCTCTCCTGGTTCTCCTCCTCCCTGTCTACCTGATCCTTCTCAAGTCTCCTCTGGATTTTCATCCAGGTCGTGCCCACTTACTGTGGGTATTCCTCCAAGTCTCTATCTTGAACTTTGCTCTTTTGTCTCTCTTTACTTTTTCTCTTGTCTCTCTTGCCTGTAATCTGACTAGCACCATGAGTTCAATTACAGTCTTTATGCTGATGATTCTTAGATCTGTTTATTCACCCTTACTTAACATTTCTCCTAACCTCCAGACTTACATCTTCAACTACCTTTTGGACAACTCAAACTGTAAATCCCATAGACATCTTCAACTCAACATGCCCAAAGCTAACTCAATTATCTATGTCTCCAAACCTCCCTTATCACCCCTCTCTGCTAAAATCTTCAAAGCTCAGTGTGGCCACTGGTATTCACCTCCTCTGTTGTTTCTGCCTATTCCAGCAAAAACTTTCTAGGTATGTCTCTTTCAGAAAATCCAGAAGATAAGAGAGCATCTCAAGACAGATGAAGTGATCAACAGTATTACATGATACAGAAATCTCAAGTAATATCGGAACTAAAAAAAGGTCATCAAACCAACAATTAGGGAGGTATTAATGATATTTGAAAAAATTAGTCTTAATGTGTTCATAGAGGTAGTAGAGAGAGTGTTAGACTTGGAGTCATAAAGAACTGGGTTTGAATTGTGTCTCAAACAGTTCACACTAGACTCTGGACAAGGCTCCCTCTGTAAAATGAATCCATTGAGTTGGTGGTCCTTTTCAACTCAAAATCTATGATCTTCTGATAGGAGCCATATTCCAAGACATTAAAGAGGGACGAGGAGGACTTAGGTCTTAACCTGCTGGTGCTTTAAATTCAGCATTTCCCAAACTAAACTCATCATCTTACCACCTAAAATGGCCTACACTTCCAGATTTCCATGTATCTGTGATTGAAACTGATATGCCAAGTCACACAGGCCTGACATTTCATATCTGATGGCTCCTTCTCCATTGTTCCCCACACGCAAGCACTATTGTCCTTTCTATGTTCTACACAATCTCTTGTGTCAGTCTCTGCCTCTCCACTCCCACCACCGCTATTCTAATTCAAACCATTATAACCTCTTGAGTGAACTAGTATAAGAGTTTTCTCTTTGATTTCCTTGCCTTTCCACTCCCAGTCTCTCTCCCACTCCCACTCCACAGATTGATGTTTTACTAGAGCCAAGAAGTTACAGTCTTTGAGATGGAAGAGAATCTACTTCCTACCATATCATTTCCCTCTTCAAAAACCTTAGATAGCTCCATATTGCCTACAGAGTAAAGTAAAAACTCTCTAGGCTAAAATAAAAGATTATTCTTTTGATGATCACACCTTAGCTTTCTAGTTGTGTCTCTCATTATTCCACTGCAGATGCTCTATGCTCTAGCCAAATTAGACAGTTCCTATTTCTTTAATTATTTCTCACCTTGGTGTTTTTCCTTCTGTTTCCCTGTGCTTGGAGTTACCCCCAGACAAAAAGGACCAGCTAACTCTAATTCTTCTGCATTCAGAAGTAAGCCTTCCCTCTCATGATTGTATTCATAGGTCTCTTAGCCCCTTTATAACTTTTTTTTTTCATATTCTGTGTTCTAATTACTTGTTCCTATGTTACAGCTCCCCTCCTTAATTGTAAATTTCATGAAGGTGGGCACAGTGGTGCTTCTCAGGGTTCTATTACCAGTAGGTAACACGATATCTTGCCAGCACTTGCCACAATGCTTGGCACATGGTAGGTACTTAATAAAGCTTGTGAGTTGACTAGACTAGACTTACACATAAAAGACATTCAGTAAATGTTTGTTGAATCAATTGGTCAGCAAGTATATATTAAAGACCTACTATGTGCCAGGCAGTGGGACCATAAATACAAATGCATTCATCTTCTCAAATTAGCCTGCCCGTATACCTCTTGGGGATTTGAAGGGTTAAGTCACTGGCATTTAAGCTATGCACAATCAGTTTGGTGTTGTTTCCCGGGTGAGAAAAAGTTGTTATCAGTGATTTAACTTCCATAATACTATTGCAAGTTATGTATAGCTTATTAGAATTTATAACTAGAGAGAAATACAAATGGAATTAACAAACAAGTTTAATAAAAGTGATAATCACTGAACTTTCTGCTGATCTAATCTAAATTTACTTATTTCAGACTCTATAAATTCTTTGGTATTTATCTTATACTTCTCTTTGCTAGTATCATAAAGGTCTAAAAGTCATGGAGCTTTACAGCTGTAAGGGACTGTGGAAATAGTAATTAACATTTATAGAATATTTTAAAGTTGACAAAGCACTTTATGTCATACATTATCTCATTTGTTTCCAACAAAAAAGCTTGAGACATAGGTCTTTTTATTGTCCCTATTTGCAGATAGAGAAATTGAAGTTGCAAAAGGTTAAGTGATTTGTCCAGGGTCACACAGTTAGTAAGTGTCTGAAGTAGGAATTGAACTCAGGTCATACTGACTCCAAGTCCAGTGCTTAATCCACCATGCCACCTTAATACATATGTACTTAATAAGTTATTTACTACTTCAAAAGCCTCTGATTTCATCATTGTGGGTATTTTTTTTCCAGCAATGTACATTGCATATCCTCCTTAGTAGATATGGGTTATGGGTTATGGGTTGCTTTCCCTGGAAAATCTATCACCCAATGGATAATTTCTGCTAATAAGAATCTCTGAACTTAAATAGCATGGCCCATACTTGAAGCCTTCCCAGTTCAATAGAAACGGGCAGTTCCTGCCTTTTGCTGTTTGCCAAATAGCCATGGACTCCCTTCACATCGTGATGAGGTACTGAGGGAGGAAGTCAGTGAAGAATCATGGGTAGTTGCAGAAAAAATAGCTCAAAATAAACAACAGTTCATATTCCCAAGTACCTAGACTATGGGTCTTACTAATGCAAAGGACAACTGAGTATATGACATATGGCCTATGGAATAAGTTGTACTTTTAAAAATTTTAGATAGAATTGAGAGAATGATGGCAATTAGAAAGATTTGGATCAACAGTCTACTGTCACTGGAAAAATCTTTCTACTCAGAAATTTAAGAATTTGCTAACTTCACAAACATGAATGACTCTGTCTTCTTTCAAATGATGTAACAAATACAAAGAAATACTTTTGGGTTGCAGCCAACTTGGGTTTAAATCCATCCTTCCTTCTGATGCTACTATCTGTAGGACATTGAACAAGTCCTTTCACTGATCTAGCCCTTAGTTTCCTTATCTGTAAAATGAGAGACTTGGACTTCAAGGCCCCTTTAGTCTCTTCTAACTCTAGACCTGATATATTTTTTTAAAGTCTGATCTCTCCATCTTGCTCAAGCTAGAAGTGAGGGAGCTACCCATGGCCCGATCCCACTTCTGATTAGCACAAAGCCTTTGAACTGCTCTGCTTCCAGCCTGGGCCAGTTTCCTCCTCCCTGTGCAACCTGGAGGCCTCCCTGCTCTCAGGGACTCAGTTATTAATGTTTTTCAAACATAATGTGGATACCCATATCTGCATAGTCCACTGTAGTTCAGAACTTCTGAGGTCAAGAGATCTGCCAATCTCAGCATCCCCAGGAGTGGGAATTACAGACACTTACCATCACTTCCAGCCCAATCTCTGCGAATTGAGCTTCAAAGGAGCAGTGGACTTACATCTTAATGTTTTGATTAATAGTACACCCAGATCTTAATCCAATACAATTTTAGTGTCAATAGTAGTGAATTAAAAAACATTTATTAAGTGTTCAGAATGTTCCAAATGTTAGTCCAAATGTTAGTCTGGGTATGTAAAGAGAAAAAGAAGACATTCAATCTAAAAGAATTGATGCTTTACTTGGAAGACACAAGAGGGCATATCAGCAGGAGTGATGGGAAGGCTCAAAGGTCCTAAAGGGGAATATCAAGGCCCAGCAGCAGAGAGTCGTATCTGCAGGGTGGAGAGCCGGGAGGGCACTAGACTCCCACTACTGGGAAGGGTCAGACTGGACCCCCACTACTGGAAAGGGTCAGGGTGAGATACTGAGTTCCTCCAGCAGAGATGGAGATCAGAGTCTGGTAGAGAGGAAAGGTTGGGGATGGGGTTTAGAAGGTTTAGGATAGAAGTGGAGAAGATTGTCTCTTCCTGATACCGTGAAACAGCATGTGGAATTCTGAGTAATAAATGAATTTTGTGCCTTTACAGGTTGCCAAATGAATATTTTTCAACATATGTCATTTTCTGGTGAAGATGTTGGCAGAGTGATTGCTCCGGATCCTTTTGTATGCCGCACTATTTGCTCCTATTATCCAAATTGCTTATTTTTTACATTCTTTACAAACACATGGCATATACAGCCACAAAGGTATGTGGGATTTTGGCTGTCATTTTGTAACAAATTTTATAATTCTCACATTTAGAGGCTTAGACTTTTTCAAAATCAGCCAATAGTGCTATGAATAGATGACTGGCCTTATAGTTAGGAAAATCTTATATGGCTTTATGCCAGGGTAACACAATCAATTATTGGTTGTGTGTTCCTGGGTAAGACAGCTTTTCAATGCCCCAGGCAACATTTTTTTTTCAAGACTACAAATTGCAGACAAATTTCCAATACACCCTTGGGTTCCCTACTCTAATGAAATCACAGATTTGGATCAAAAACTTTCTACAACAATATGCTTTTTAAAAACTGATTATGTATTTTTAGTTTTCAAAATTCACTTTTATAAGATTTTGAGTTCTAAAAATTTCCACCCTCCTTCCCTTCCCTTCCCTTCCCCCAAGACGGAATGCATTCTGATACAGGCTATATGTGTATAATCATATTAAACATATTTCCACATTAGTCATGTACAATAATACTTTGAGCAGGAGAGTGGGTTTGAGGCTTAGTTAGGATAAGAGGTCAGTATTCCTGCAACCAGAGTCCCTGATTTCTCTTCTTCCAACCCCAGTTACCTCAGCAAAGCCTTTATGTGAAATCAAGGTCAAAGTCTACTTATCTTCTGTCAATATTACAAAATTCCAGTTACTAAAGTACCTCCAGTCATGATTTTTTTTAAAAAGAAAGAATAATGATCCCTCTGTTCTTGAAGGAGAGTTCAATTTTAAATGCTTTCCCTACTTACCTAGTGTTTCTCATGTTCTTTTTAATTTGCTTTTAGAAATATGTGTTTTCTTAAGACATCAAAGAGTGGAAAACCAAGCTCTGAAATACCACTGGTCAACACCACCTCAGGATATAGTCTTCTAAGCTGCAAAGATTTGCCTGGTAATGTGGTACAATAACAAGTAGTAACTGAAGAGCATCAGTAAGATGAAGGGGTTAGATTGGAGAGGATTCCTTATTCTATATTTATCAGTTCTCTCTGTGGATTCAAATCATATCTTTCTTCATATGTCCCACATTTTTAATTTGTGTATTTATAATAGTCAAAATGACTTAGTCTCTCAAAGTCTTTCTTAAAACAGTATTGCTATTACTGTATACAGTATTCTCTTGGTTTTGCTCATTTAACTCTTCATTACTTCATGCAAGTCTATGTTTTTCTAAGATCATTGAGCTCATCATTTCTTAGCATAGTAGTATTCCATCACAATCATATACCACAACTTATTCAGCCATTCCCCAATTGGTGGACATCCCTGCAATTTCTAGTTCTTTGCCACCACAGTCGTGTCTAATGGTAACCATATCTAGGGTGGGGTGAGGGGGGGAGGGAAGAAAAAAAAGAAAAAAGAAATTAACGTGATAATTTTATTATATATTTAAAAGGAATAGCACATTGTACATAATAGATTTGTGTTTTCATGCATAATAATCTTTTTTTATTATACTATGTTATAAAAATGTTTGTTTCATTCCATAAATTAAAAAGAAAATAAATTTCTAAAAAGATTGGATAAGATTGCCAAGGCTATTCCAGCATTGTGGTAGAGTGAAATGGGGTGCTGAATGTGTAGATAGGAAGCCTTCAGCTCGTAGGATCAGGTGTTTAAAGTAAGGAAAGGTCTTAGAGGTTGTCCAGTCCAAACTTTTCATTTTATAAATGAGGAATTGAGGTATGGAGATGATGACAGCCTTGCCCAGGGTCATACAACGTTTGAGTGTCTCAGGAAGGATTCAAACTCAGTTCTTCCTGGTTCTACTCACTCCCTGCTACAGATATTAATATGTCTGTTTTGCATCTGGGGAGACTAAAACTCAGAGAGATGAAATGATTTGACCTTGGTCATATAGCTAGTAACTGGATAATGCTTTTAGAGAAAAAAAACATGACTGAGTGGATAGAGAGGTGGCTTCAGAATCAGGAAGACCTGAGTTCAAGTTCTGGCTCTGATATATATACTGGCCAGGTGGCACTGGGCAAGTTACCTAAGCTAGTGCTGATCTACATTGGTTGGAGTGAGTTCCTCATTGAGAGTTCCTTATATCAATGGAATCACAGAGGGGAGAGAGAGAGAGAGAGAGAGAGAGAGAGAGAGAGAGAGAGAGAGAGAGAGAGAGAGAGAGAGAGAGAGAGAGAGAGAGAGAGAGAGAGAGAGAGAGAGAGACAATAATAATAGGATGAAACCAAATTCATACCTGTATATTTAGACAGCTAGGTGGTACAGGGCATAGAATGCTGAGCCTGGAATCAGGAAGCCCTGAGTTCAAATCTTGCTTCAGTCTCTTATTAGCTGTGTGACCCTGAGCAAGTCATTTAATTATTCTCTGCCTCAGTTTCCTCATTTGTAAAAATTAGGATGATAATAGCATCTTACCTCCCAGAGTTGTTGTCAGGACAAAATAAGATATTTGTAAAACAAGTGCTCTGTAAATGCTAGCTGCTATTATTATTTGTGTGTGCATTTTCCATCTTTCGTGTCTGTGACCAGTACAGAACGATGCCATTCCCAAAGGTATGTTGGTGTGGACTTTGAAGGTGATGAGCTGGAAGCTGTCTATGTTAAAGGAATTAAGGCTTGTCAAGAAAACTGTACAAACAAAATCCGCTGTCAGTTTTTCACATATACATCCCACCAAGGAGAATGCAAGGAAGACAGGTACAATCAATTTTCTTTTTGAAAACTAGCTAACAAAATTCTTGAACATATTTGCCACTTCTACAAAGACAATATCTTTAAAAACCTCACATTTTCTTCTTCTTTTCTTTTTTCTCTTTCCTTCCTTCCTTCCTTCCTTCCTTCCTTCCTTCCTTCCTTCCTTCCTTCCTTCCTTCCTTCCTTCCTTCCTTCCTTCCTTCCTTCCTTCCTTCCTTCTTTCCTTTTCTCTCTCTCTCTGTCTCTCTGTCTCTGTCTCTGTCTCTCTTTCTCTCTTTCTCCTTCCTTCCTTCCTTTTCTATTTATCTTTGTAGGTGTAAATGTTCCTTAAAAATTTCTTTGAATGGTTCTCCAACTAGAATAGTCTATGGGACAGAAGGTACCTCTGGTTATACTTTAAGAATGTGTAAAACGCCAAGCATCTCTGGTAAGTAAAGTCCTTATTTTTCTATGTAAGTGTAATCAGATACCTTGTAACATTATAATTCAATGAATCCCTGTCTTTTGAGAGTGAAGGTTCTCTGATTTACTGCTTAATTCTAGACACTGCCTCCAGCACTTCTCACCATCAGAAGACCAGAGTCCAAATCCAAGTTCCTAGTTGTGTGACCTTGGGCAAGTCACTCCATTTCTCTAAGCCTCAGTTTTCCTCATTTATAAAATAGCAATGGTTAGACTTGTCTCATGTTTTCAGTCTCAGACGAGATGATGTAGATAAAATGCTTCATGACTTTCCAGTCTATGTAAATGTTACGTGTATGTCACCTCTCATGACCATTATGATTCTTTATAGTCTGCACAAAGACAGTAACTACAAGGATTGTTGGAGGCACTAGATCTTCCCCACGAGAGTGGCCATGGCAAGCCTCCTTACAAGTCAAACTGAGGACACAGAGTCATGTGTGTGGAGGCTCAGTCATTGGGAATCAGTGGGTCATAACGGCTGCCCATTGCTTTGATGAGTGAGTATTGGCTCTTCTCTGAATTCCAGTAGAAGGAGGAGAAACGATATTGGCGCAAACTTAACTATCACCATGTCATCATTTTAATCCCTATGTCGGAAATATTTTCCTTAACTCCTTGGCTTTATCTTGCCTCCTGCTCTCCTTTAAATGTGCACCAAGGTGAAGATATCTGGCCATGTTTTAGAGAAATGCTTTGTCCTTCACGTGCATATAGTGCAGTCTCATTAACATGGACTAGATGGGGGAGAGGGAAGGAAAGAATGAGGGCCAATCTGCATGGGTGACTCTAATGTAATATATATATATATATCTATAGATATCTATATATCTATATCTATATATATATAGTATAATGTGAATAATGTGAATATAAAGTGTAATGTGAAAATTCTACAAACATAGGCATTTTCAATGAACGCAGGGGCAGCATAATTTTTCCCACAGTGGGATGCTATTATTTTCAACATTAACAGTTCTGATGTGTTCACAAGAGCAATTAAAAAACTATGAACAGAAGCAAAGAGGGCTTCCACTAGCTGGCAGTAAAAACCTGCTATAACCAAACACATCTCACATGTATTTAACTGCTTTTACTAGCCATGTTTCTCAGTGGTTAGAGCTCTGGACTTGGGGATAGACCTGAGTCCGAATACTGCATCCTCTCACTAGCTGACCTTGGGCAAGTCTTTTAACTCCTTTAAGCCTCAATTTCCTCATATATAAAATGGACATAATAATAGCACCTGCCTTGAAGGGTTGCTGTGAGAATCAGTCAATTAGTTGATCAGTAAATAAACATTTATTAAGCACCTACTTTGTACCAGGCACTGTACTAAGCTTTGGGGATACGAAAAGAGGCAACAAACAGCCCTTGTCCTAAGGAGCTCACAATCTAATCTACATATACGTACAAACAAACTATGTTCAGGATAAATAGGAAATAATTAAAGGAGGGATGGCATCAAATGAGATTTTATACACACACACATACACACACAATTCACACACATGTAAGCTGTTTTGCGAATCTTAGGGTCCTATATAAACGATAACTAGCTATTAATTTGCTGAGAACTCAAATGTTTGGGACTAAATAGAATAGAAATACAGAACAAGAATTAGAGAAATAGAAATAGAGAACAGAAACAGAATAACAAAAACATAGTGCAGAAAAATCAGTTGGTTTTGGTTTTCTTGATTTTTAAATTGGGAGCAGAGGTTGGTCAGCGGGGTGGCATTGGAAGAAGATAAGAAAGCACATCAGAGTTTGAAATTTGGGAGTAAATAGGGCATTCTGGACACTTAAATATTCTTATGAAGATTTATTTTTCTACCTCTAGCTTACCATCACCTGATATTTGGAGAATTTATACTGGCATTTTAAATCAGTCAGAAATCCAGGCAGCCATACCTTTCTCCAGGGCTGAAAAGATTATTATCCACCCTCAATATAAAATTTCGGAAACAATACATGATATTGCTTTAATCAAGCTTAAAGCTGCCATGAATTTCACTGGTATGTAGACTGTTCATCACAAAGCTATCTATTTGAGTTTTCTAGATTTAAATTTTGTAGGCCTTTGCATAAGACCTAACTCTTTTCACTTTTCACTTGGCTTTTGACTTAGGGAACAATAATTGCTCCTATTTCCTAAGGGAAAGATAAGTCATCTTTCAAAATTAATGAAGTATCTTGCAGAATAAGAGGCTAGAGGTTACTTTCAGCCAGAACTCTCAACCTGACATGTGATATCTCATAAATTATTGAGATTAAAGTCAGAGGAGATGATGTATTTCGGGGACCAGAAAGGCACAAGGCTACCCCTGGGTGGTAGTCTCAGACATAGAACCTTATCAACCTGCCATCTGGTGTTGGTCTTAAATAGAGACACTGCCATGAGCTAGAGACCAATGTCTAACTAAGCTTCAGATGCTATGGTTGGGGGTGAGATTGGGCTGAAGGCAAGAGGTTGGTTTGGAGGCATGCTATTAGATATTGCATTCTGAATAAGCTTTAAGAAGTAAGAAATTAAAATTTTTCCCAATGGTAAACTGGCACCCCAGGCTTCTGGGTAGACTGGGCAGGGAGGACTTGGAAATTTCTAATTCCCATAATTCCCTGGGGTGATGAATTCCCTATTAGTTGGACACTCTCTTATGTCATTAACTCTAATGGTTTATTGAGTATTTAACAGAAAGTGGAGAGATCTCGTTCTTAGAGTTTCCACAGCAGGACATAGCATTGGTATATGTGTTTGTGTGTATGTATATGTATATGTATATGTATATGTATATGTATATGTATATGTGTATGTGTATGTGTATGTGTATGTGTATGTGTATGTATATGTGTATGTATATGTATATGTGTGTGTATGTTTGTAGTATATCTATAAAATCAGAATTTTTTTCTTCTCTAACCAAACTCTAATATAACAAATGCAATCTAGATTTCCAAAAACCTATCTGCTTACCCTCAAAAGAAGACATGACTTATACCACCTGCTGGGTGACTGGATGGGGCTTCACTCAGGAAAAAGGTATGGAATGATGTTTACAAATAAATGCTCATGAATGGGGCATCAGCTCTAAAATCAAATAAATTTAAAAAAACTGGGGCAATTCAGAGGAATTGAGCCCTAATCTAGAAGATAAATGAGAAGCACTGGAATCCAGAAGACCTGGGTTTGAGTCCTGCCTTCGGACAGGATCCACACACACACACACATACATATGTGTGTGCATGCATGTATGTGTGTATGTATATGTATGTTTGTTCACCTCTAGGCAAATGACAGCCTGTTGGTGCCTAAGGCAACTCTCTAATAGTATAGATATGCTGATCTGAGGGAGGAGTTATTTCACTGGTCATACCTTAGGTCAATGAAATCACAGGTCCAAATTAAAAAACAAACAAATGGAATAGAAACACACCTCCATTCCTTCAGAATCTACTTACCTTTTGCATAATCTTACCAACCTCCTTTTCTCTGTTTTGAATTTCTCTAATGTAATTATCACCATAATCAATACAGTGTGTAAAGGTTTACACTCACTAAATCATTTGATTCTCATGGCAACCCATGAGGTAGTCAGTCAGTCAATAAACTTTTATTAAGTGCTAAGTGCTAAGCACTGGGGACACAAAAAGAAGCCAAAGACAGTCTCTGCCCTCAAGAAGCTTACAATCTAATGAGGAGACAAAAAGCAAACAAATATGCACAAACAAGCTATATATAAGAAAAAATAGGAAATAATGAAGAGAAGGAAGGCACTAAAATTAAGAGGGATTGGGAAAGGCTTCCTCTAGAATACTGGATTGTAGATGGAATTTAAAGGAGGTGAGGGAGGTCAATAGGTTGAAATGAGGAGGAAGAGCATTCCAGGCATGGGGGGAAGCCATAAAAAATGCCTGGAGCTGTGAGATGGAATGTTAAGAGGTGGAGAGAAGGAGGTAGATACCACAGGTATTTATCGTTGTGACGGTTATTGTCACCTTCCCCTCCCCCTATGTTACAGAGAAAGAAACCAAGACAATTTGTCATAGTCACAGAGACAATGTCAGAGGCAGAATTCAAACCTAGGTCCTCATGCTCCTCTGAGAGGATCGCTGGATAGAACATTGGGTCTACAGTCAGGAAGACCTGAGTTTAAGTCCTGCCTCCTCTGAGAGGATCGCTGGATAGAACATTGGGTCTACAGTCAGGAAGACCTGAGTTTAAGTCCTGCCTCAGACACTGACTAGCTGTGTCACTCTGAACAAGTTACTTAACCTCCCTTTGACTCACTTTCCTCATTTGTAAAATGGGGATAAAAACAGCATCTACTAGGGTTGTTGTTGTGAGGATCAAATGATATAATATTTGTAAAAGTGCTTAGCACAGTATCTGTGCTATGTACCAGTGTCTGTGGTACATAGCAGATGCTATATAAATGTTCACTATTACTATTATTATCATGCAGTGTTGCATATTGTGATTACCTTTATGTTTTATCCCTTTACTAGTCTTTGAGCTGCATGAAGGCAGGGACTGTCTGATTACACTTTCTGTCTCCCCCAGTGTCTAGCACAGTGCTGTGTACACTGTAGGTGTTTACTTAATGTGTATTGATTCACTGGAGGCCACTAGGTGGTGCCATAGAGTGCCAGGTCTGGAATCAGAAGACTCCTCTTCCTGAGCTCAAATCTAGCTCTCAGATATTTCCTAGCGACAGTGTTCAAGTCACTTAGCCCCATTGCCTAGGCAAGGAAAAAACCCCCCACAAAATATCATTATCCATGTTGTGTCGTATTTTTCTTTGTTTTGCTCAACAGTTTCCCATTACATTTTAATCTGGTTTGGGCTGCTCTCTTGAGTTTGGGGCCTGCAGGCCTTCTTTTTGATGCCTCTGATTCAGTCCAACCCCCTTATTTTATAGGTGAGGAAATGAAGGCCCAGAATGCTTAAGTGATCTGTTAAGGTCACAGAGGAGTAAGCGTCAGAAACAATTGTGAAACCGGTTCACTCCAGGGCCACTGGTTTTTTGTTTGTTTGTTTTTCTTTCCACTGTATCATTCAGAAGTATACTGGAGTCAGCTTGAACTGCTCTTAGAAGACCTCAGTGTTAAATTGTTAATATGGACGTTTACACCTTGAAAAGTGGCAAATCAGAACAAATCAGAGCTTGATTTATTGTTTTGTTGATTGTCTAGATTTATAAATGGTGGAGAAAATGGTAATCATAAAAATTAAAATTGTGTTGGGCATCCCCTTCCCCTCCCCCTCTGTGAGAGTAGGTTGTTAAACATTTACTAGCACACCAAGGATTGCTTCTGTTGGAGGCCGGGGTTGGTAGGGAAGGGAGAATGAAAGGATGGGTTTTTTTGTTTGTTTTTTAATTTTAAAATTATGGAGCAGCTAGGTGCATAGTGGATGGAGCACCAGCCAGCCTCAGACAGTTGACATTTACTAGCTGTATGACCTTGGGCAAATCACTTAACTTCAATTGCCTCGTCCCTGTCCCCTGTCCTTCCCCCCGCCCCACCCCTGGCAATGGAAAAATACAGAACTAGAATGTGAGATTATAGGTAGTAAATGAAAATGATGAGCTTTGAAATTCTTAGTGGGCCTTAAACTGTGGTTGATTACAGAGGAAGACGGGGGACCAGAGATTGGAGGTAGCTTTGTAGCCAGACTTGTTCTAATAATGTCTCAGAGGCAAAGCCAGGGCTTCAGTCCAGGATCTAGTGACACTGGTCTCTATTCTTCTTCTCACAAGATATTCCATCCATGACTCCAGGCTTTTCCATGGCTGTCCCTCATGTCTGAAATGTTCCTCCTCTTCATCTTCATCTCCTGGCTCCTATGGCTTCTTCCAAGTCTCAGCTAAAACCCCACTTCTCTATGAAGCCTTTCCCAATCCCCTTTAAAGCCAGTGTCTTAATTCCAAAAGACTCACGATGAAAAATACTACCCCATCCAGAGAAAGAAGTATGGAGTCTGAATGCACATCGAAGCTTACTATTTTCTCTGTCTCTTTTTTTTTCATGGTTTTGCCCTCTTGTCTGGTTTCTTTTTTCACAACAATACTAAGGTGGAACTATGTTTAACACAATTGCATGTGCATAACCTATATCATATTGCTTGCAGTCTTGGGGAGGGGGAGAGGAAGAGAGTGGAGGGAGAAAAATTTGGAACTCAAAATCTTATAAAAAATGAACATTGAAAATTGTCATTACATGTAATTAGAAAAAATAAAATACTATTTCATTAAAAAAGAGAAATAAATCTAGGATAAAATGATAATGTCTTCCTTTTTTAATTAAAAAATTTTTTTTTGTGTCTTCCTTTTTGTTGATTATTTTCTGTTTATATTGTATATAGCTTGTGTGCCTGGCACTCAGCAGGTGCTTAATAAATACATGTTGACTGGACTTCTAGATCACCTGAATAATGCCACCATAAGTTAAGCCACAAAAACTGATTTGCCAACTTCTAATGTCCAGGTTTTACTCAATGGGTCCTATTAGAGAATTCAGAAATCTAATTTTGCTTCAATTTCTCACTCTACTTTTAATACACATTTCAATGTTCCTTCTGTTTTGCTAGGTACAATCCAAAACACTCTCCAGAAGGTCAGAATTCCCCTAGTGCCCATTGAAGAATGTCGGAAAAAATACATTCAACATAAAGTAACTGATCAGATGGTCTGTGCTGGTTATAAAGAAGGGGGTAAAGATGCTTGTAAGGTAAAGAAATCTGTTATATGAATATTGGCAGAGTGGGACTACTGAGCAAAAAAGCATCTAGCTAGGTGGAACAGTGGATGGAGTGCTGAGCTTGGAGTCAGGAAGACTTGAGATCGAATCCTTCCTCAGATACTTACTAGCTGTGTGACCTTAGGTGAGTCATTTAACCTCTGCCTCAGTTTCCTTAGTTGTAAATGAGGAAAATAACAGCATCTACAAAGGTTATTGTGAGGATCAAATAGGATAATGCCTGTAAAGCACTTAGCATAGCACTCAATAAGTTTTTATTTCCTTCCTCCCCTCAGAGGTGAGGAATATGATATGGAGGAGTATAGAACTGGAACTGAAAGGGGCCTTATGAGTTCAAAACATTCATTTTACAAATGAGGAAACTGATGCTCAGACAAATTAAATGACCTGTCTACGGTTACAGAAGTCATAAGACTAGAATCAATTTCACATTAAAAGCCAATTATCAAATGCCATTTAAATGTTTCTATCTATTTGTTATAAAAGCAAGATAGGATACATCGAAATCATACAGGTTCCAAAGTCCTCAGACAAGCACTCTGTATATAATCAAAGGACAGAATGCATGTAAGCAGAGAATTTTATGAGCCTCAGAATTGCACAAGTATTTCAGCTGTGATAATGACGGATGATAAGAATGAACTATGTTTAGGTTCAGATATATGGACATTGGATTTCTTTTTCATTGCTGTTAACCTAAGATCTGGAACAGACAAACTTGGTTATTGAATAAGACAGGGAAATAACAAAATAAAAACAAAAAATGCATAGAGCTACCCTGGTTCTCACTCCTTACTTGAAGAACTTTGACACATTATGATGTATAAACACTTGTCAAAGCTTTTTTTCCCCTTGTGGTTGAATTGAATTGAATTATTTGCCATTCAATGTGTATCCCACTGAGGAAGTGGGTTGGGCCACTCTCCAAGCCCAACCTGGTTTTGTTAGATCTTTGGCCAGGAACCATATAATACCAAAGAGGCAGCTAGATGGCTCATTGGATAGAGTGCTATGCCTGGAGTCAGGAAGACCTGAGCTCAAATACAGCCTCAGACACTTAACTAGATGTGTGATTCTGGATAAGTCACTTAACCTCTGTCTGCCTTAATCCACTAGTGAAGGAAATGGAAAAGCACTCCAGCGTCTTTGCCAAGAAAGCCCCATGAACAGTATTGGCATGATATGGTCCATGGGGTCATAATTGGACATGACTGAAAAAAATATATAATACCAAACCTAATCCCTAGCATATCTGGGTACACTCTCTTCCTTCCAGTCTGTCAACTTTATACCATATAGCCTTTAATGAGATCTAGTCCTCCTTATAGGGTTCTTAGGTAAAGTTCCTTTATGCCTCTAACTGACCTCCCTCCCTCAAAAAAAAAAAAACCCACAAACACTCAAACTTTTCAGCCCACAATATTAACTGACATTTATAGAGCATTTCAGAGTTTGAAAAGCACTCTCTGCCTGTATCTCTCTGTCTCTCAGTCTCTCTCTCCAACATATGTAAGTACATGCACACATGTGTATATATGTGCATATGTATATATGTGTATATACACACACATACATACATATATATACACAAACACAAACACACACACACACACACACATATATGTATATATATATATGTATATAAATACACATATATAATTTCCAGTTTGCATCCAGGGTAACTAAAACTCAGAGAGATGAAATGATTTGACTGTGGTCATATAGCTATTAAGTGTCAAAGGTAGTATTTGAATCCAGGCTTCCTTGATTCTGAAAACAATGCTATGTTCACCATGCCACAGTGCATCTTTACGACTTTGCTTTATGATATAGTTCAAGTATTCCTTTCGGTGGTCTTTGCTTCAAACATATTGACATTCCATTAATGATCCATGTGCTCCCATTGCTCCAGTCCCATTTGAGCAAATTAAATTATTTTTCATTAAAATCTTAAATATTATGACACTGAGATTGTAACTTAGAGCATCTACTCGGGTCAGGGTCATACTAATTTGGGATAATCTGGGATGAAGCAATAGCTAGCTACTGAGGTGATTGGAGGACACACTAAAGAGCTGTTCTATCAAGAAAGTATTTGCTACCGCTATTGTTAATGAAAGTTTATGAAATGGATCCAGTGAGTTGATAGATGGTCAAGAGAAATTGGACTAGGCAGCTGGTGAAGGAGCAAGTGTAGTATGGGCAAGGAAGGGTTTGTAGTCAGGAGAGAGGTGGCGGGTCAACTTAGGAAACAGATGCCAGTTGTCAAGAGAACATGAACTTGGCCACATTTAGAGAGATGGTGGAAGATAGAAGGGCTTGGCATGCTATGGTTCATGGGGTGATGAAGAGTTGGATATCATTGAACAACTGAACGACAAGAATATCTTTGTTGGGGGGGAAAAATGAGCTACAAAGAATTTTTACTATAATAGTTTCTTAAGCGTACATGGGATGTTTTCTTATAAGTGAAATCACCTAATAATTAGGCCTTTTTGGTACCCAAGTCACCCAAAAATGGGTTCTGAAAAAGTGTGTTGTACTTAAGTCTGTTCCATGGTAATTAGCATTATGCTGAGATTTTGGAGTATTATAATACAAATATTTGGGAAAGGGTTTTTATAGTCCCACTGTGTGAAAGCTTTTGAATTTTCAGTCATTTTCTTATTGGGGTAATAGAATTATATTGTTATTTTGAAACCCCTATCATGCATTAGTTTGGCATTCATCAATAAGTTCAAGTACCAATATGGTTTTAAGGAAAGGGTATGTGTATGTATGTTTTTGTGTGTCTGACTACAGAAACCTGTATGTACGAACTGGCTTTGAAGACGTCTCTTAGAAACATTTTCTGTTTTGTTTTTCCCACCCCTGTGACACAGGGAGATTCAGGTGGCCCCCTGTCCTGTTACCAAAATGGAGTATGGCAACTAGTTGGCATCACCAGCTGGGGAGATGGTTGTGCTAAAAAGGATCACCCGGGTGTTTATACCAAAGTGGCTGCATATGTGGATTGGATTTTAGAGATCACACAAAACTGACCAACTCTCCTTGATGAAGCTAGCTGCTTGTGAATGGAGGAGAAACTGTAAGAGTCTTTTACAAATATGTTGGCTATCAAATCTAAAAACCCATTGGGAAGAGTGGTTCCCCCTCCCCCCATTTTGTTCTTTTGGTTCAGCAGAATCAGATCTGAAGGTTTCTAATGTTTAACAATTAGCTGTCACTACGATATGAAGGTCAGAGTGTCTAAGGTTGATTTGGGTATAGTAGAAACCAATGGTACCAACGGTGGCCTTTCTTCCATGTTGATGTTGCCTTGCAGACAACACATAAAAGCTTGGAGGAATAGGACTTCCTGATTTCCTGGCTGGTATTTTAGATGGCTTGTGGAGCTAGCTTAGTGTCCTTGAAGGGGGAAGAGAGTGAGAGTCTTCTTACTGGCAGAGAGGTGTGGCTACCAGGGGTCTGGTGTTTCTGTGTATCTGTGCTTGTGGTCTCCTGTATTACTTTTTGTCTCTGGGGAGTCTTTTTTGCTAAACCATGCTATAAGCTGCCCACAGTCTTGGGCAGAGACAACATGGTTTTGTTGTGGTAATTTTGTGCCACCATGTCTGCAGCAACTGTATTCTTCAAAACCCTGTCCAAGCCCCTCCGTATTAACTCAGGTTAGCACTTCTTTCCACAGGCCATTGGATCCCAACACTACATCTGGGTCAACCAGCATAAATTGTTTAGGAACTTTCCGTAAATAATTCCAAATCACTTTTCAAAATAGCCATTCACATTCACAGGTCCACCAACAGTGCACCAGAGTGCCTGATTTACTACAACCCCTCCAACATTCTTTTGTGCCTCAGCCTTTTTACTCCTAAATAGATGGTGGAATTTGGGGAATACATGCTATCCCCAAACTATGTGTGAGCAGAGTTGCCTTGCATGGAGACCTTTTCATCCAAGAGGAAATAAAGTCCTAGAAATAATGGGGCCAGTGACTACGTAGGACAAAAGAGTCTTCTAATAGTGCTGTAGCTTCATTGTGCAGTCTATGAAGTATAATAAGGAATTTATTGTTTTCCAAGTAGCCACAGAGATTCTTAGTATCAGGAGACTTAAATGGGAATAATTGAGCTCTATAATAATAATAGTAAGGCATTTAAAAATTCTAAAATGTTACATCAGATTACCCTAGGTTATCCATGGGGATATAGGGATGTATGGGGAATAGGAAAGAACAATGTAAATCTAGAGGTAATATGGAAGTGTAACAGTTTCCTCACCTGTAAAATGGAGATAATAATAGCACCTACCTCCCATTGTTGCTTTGAGGATCAAAGGAGATAATTATTGCAAAACATTTAGTACAGTGCCTGGCACAAAGTAAGCACTATATAAACATTAGCTATTATCATTGTGATTATTATTAAATGAAATACTCTAATGATTTTTATATTCACCTACAATTCTTTTACCTCAGCTGGTTCCAAGCTAAATGGAAGTGTTCTGAATTCTTTTCTTTTTTTCTTCTTTTCTTTTCTTTCCTTTCCTTCCTTCCTTCCTTCCTTCCTTCCTTCCTTCCTTCCTTCCTTCCTTCCTTCCTTCCTTCCTTCCTTCCTTCCTTCCTTCCTTCCTTCTTTCCTTCCCTTTTTCCTTCCTTCCTTCCCTCCCTCTTTCTTTCCTTCCTTCCTTCCCTCTTTCTTTCCTTCCTTCCTTCCTTTTCTGTTTTTTCTTCTACATCCAGTGATGGATATAAAAAGGACCACTGAAGTGGCTTGAAGTCAAGAATAGCAAATGATGAGCTAAGAGAAACTGAAGGCTCAAGAGTTGGCTGCAGGAACTCAACTCTGGCAAAAACAAACAGGAATCTTGGAGATTACAATAAATCAAGGACAAGATGCCACCATCTCAGCCTGTAACTGAGTTCTCGAACTTTGACCTATGTTGTTTTTCAGTTAAAAAAATTAAAGAAAGACATGGTTTGGCTCTTATTTCCAATTTGTGTTTGATGTTTATAAACCGTATTTGACCTGACCTTTGGAGTGGCCAGGGCTGTGGCAGATAAACACTTCCATTCCATTTAATAGTAGTAGACTTCTCTGTCAAGAAGATAATAAGGCTTCCTCCCAGGGAAATCCAAACTTCAGCCCTTTGGGGCTTAGTCCGGAGGGGTCTTTCTAACCATAGCTCAGCATAGCCCTGAATGATTGATTGCCTTAACCTCTAAAGTCAATTAGCTGTTGTGCTTCAGAGACAGCTACTCCCACTGCTAAACCTTCTATTATCTTTGGGGTAAATAGGATCACTGATAAGAGCTGAACTTTGTGTGGTTTGTCTTTCATTCTGGAAGAAGACTGGGACATGATTTGCAGTTGACTCTGATGTGAGTGAGGGAGGGCTGTGCAAAGTTACCAGCCTCATTTTTTCCTCCAGAGCCATCTGAGTCCAAAGGGGCCAGATAAGGATCAGGAGGATTGGAGAAGGCTCAGAGTGCAGTGGTAGAACTTGGCCCTTTTAAGTGAAGGTCTTTTTAGATTCTCACTTTGAGTGAGGCCACACCCATTGGTGCTGTGGCTCGCACACCAGCCTTGGAGTCAGAAAGACCTGAGTTCAAATCCAGCCTCAGACATTTGACACTTACTAGCTGTGTGACCCTGGGCAAGTCACTTAACTCTGCCTCTGTCGCTTAAAAAAAAAAGTCTATGAGCTAGAAATGACCTGAGAGGGCATCTATTCCAACACCTCATTTTATACATTAGGAAAATAAGGCCAGAGAAATTGTGACTTGCGCCAAGGCCATACAGGAAGAGCCAAGACTGAAAGACAAGTCCTATGACAAGTTCAGCACTCTTTCCACTGTACCATGTTGCAGAGAGTCCTCACACACAGAATTTCAGAGCTGGAAGGGGCCTCAGAGATCATCTAGTCCAACTTGTACTCAACAATGGACTGCCTTTTTTTTTTTTTAAGGCAATTGGGGTTAAGTGACTTGCCCAGGGAGCTAGTAAGTGTTAAGTGTTTGGTCTGAGGCTGGATTTGAACTCAGGTCCTCCTGACTTTAGGGCCATTGCTCTATCTATGGGCTGCCATTTGTAGCTCCAAAAAGCCTGAGATTATGCTTTGTCTCTGTGATAGGAAAAATCCTGAAAATTCTATTGATTCCCAAAGGGTTTTGTATGGAATTAGGAATCATATTTCATATTTTTATGCACAGAAAAATCGATGTTTTGAGCTGAAGAGGTCTAGGACTTTTGGGGTGCTGGGACCCCAAGATCGTGGTACCGGGCCCTGCTAAATGAATTCAACTCAAATCTTCTTCAGCCAGAGGAAAAGTTTGTTAGTGATAAATCACACTGACCAGGTGACGCCTGTAAAGACAAGCAGGCAAGAGAGGTTCTCAGCCTTGTGGGCCTGAGATTCTCAGCATCTGAATGAGGGCTAGGGTGGATCTTAAATACTAAAGTAACTTTGGGTGGTCAGAGAAAGGGGGTTGGGAAAAGGGTCTAGGTAAGAATTCTAATTGGGGAGGTCTGAGAGATTGAATAGACAATGGGAATAGCTAATGGAGGGAACAGGAAGGCAGAAGTTTGAAAGACATCTGCACAAAATCAAGGTGGGGCTAGGACTTTCAAAAGGAGATAAAGGAAGGCCTTTCTGGGGCCTATGGACAAAAGGGAGCCAGATTCTTTTAGGGCGTATCTGAATAAGATTAAAAGGTAAGGCTAAGGCTTTCAAAGGGAGATGAGGGTCTGGGGACTGTGAGTCAGATTCCCTTTGGGGCAAAGGGCAAAGATCTTGGCTTGGGACCCACCCCCATCAGAGCCATTATTGCCAAATGCCAAAAGATTTCTCTGTTGAACTAAGTTTAAGAAGCTGAGATTTTATTTAATTTCTGTGTAGGTACTAATGCTGCTCACAATTCCTTCTACATTTTCATGAATTTCTGTAATTAAAGGAATCTATGCATGTCACTGGTAGGAAACCTCAATCCACTAATCAAGTGTAGTTATTAGATCATAGGAGTTAGAACTGAGGGGGACAGTAGAGACCACCCAGTCTAACTTCCTCATTCTACAGAGGAGCAAACAAGCCCCTTAGGTCTAGTCACACAAATAGTAAGTGAAAGAGGTAGGATTTGAACTGGGGTCTTCTAACTCTGGCACAATAGATAGAGCTCAGGGCCTGGAGTCAGGGAGACACATCTTCCTGAGTTCAAATCTGGCCTCAGACACTAGCTATGTGACCCTAGGCAAGTCACTTAACCCTGTTTACCTCAGTTTCCTCATCTGTCAAATGAGCTGGAGAAGAAAATGGCAAACTAATCCAGGATCTTTGCCAAGAAAATCCCAAATGGGGTCACAAAGAGGCGAACGTGACTGAAATAATTGAACAATTTCTAACTTCATTGCTTTCTGGTCTTCTAACACTGAGCTCTCCTCGCTGTACTCTCTTATCCTTCCCACTTGCTTTTCCACACAACAGACATTTCCTATGTGGACTTCATGTCTGGAATGGTCTTCTTCCTTAACTCTGCCTCATGGCTTCCTTCAAGACTCAGTTTAGGGGTAGCTAGGTGGTGCAGTGGAGAGAGCACTGGCCCTGGAGTCAGGAGGACTTGAGTTCAAATCCAGCTCAACACTTACAAGCTGTTTGTCCTTGGGCGATTTACTTAACTGCTTTCTGACTCAGTTTCCTCATCGGAATAATAGCACCGACCTCTCAGAATTGTTCCGAGGATAAAATGAGATCATATTTGTAAAGCATTTTGTGAATCTTAAGGCACTATATGACTGCTAGCTAGTAATAATAAATAATAATAAACAATAAATCCTTGTTGGCTATTGATTGAATAATCATAGGGGATCAATAGCCCCCCCCAAGATCAATCTATCAATAAACATTTATTAAGCACCTACTATGTGCTTAATACCAGGCATGGTGCTAAATTCTGACAAATCATAGATTTAGAACTGAAAGGGGCTTTTAGAGGTCCAATCCATTGTTTTTACAGACGAGGAAACTGAGGACCCAATAGGTTAAATGGATTACAAGATTGTACAGAATAATCTAAGCATTTGAGAAAACATCTCCTAAATTCAAAATGACCTTGTAGTCATCATGTTGGACCGTTTCACCTTCAGAATTGTTTTGTTTGTTGCTTTTTTTTTTAAGTATAAATTCAATCGACTTATGGGTTTTGACCTATTTGCCTGTATCAAATATTTTGCATGGAAGTACAATTTTAAATGGGGGGATGGGGAGAGCCAAATAGGGCCCATTCATTTTTCCCTCGTATGACCACCTACTCTGTGGGGATGTAATGAACCTAAAGTATTGGGGTACAACATCTGGCAAGTGCTTGTGAATTACAATTTTCTTTTACAACTGAAAACCATATCCTGCGTACAGTCTCAGTGGGGTTTAATGCTGTCAGAGCATGCAAGGCTTGTTTTGATCTCTTATGGAGTAACACACATAGCTTTGAGTTCACACTAATAACATCCCTGTGTCTGGTATATACTAATCCAGAGGCTACTAATTAAAGGTCAGCATTAAGCAAACACGATTTCATTACAAAACATGTGAAACTTATTAAAACTTAAAGTAACTGCTGGGTCTCAGTCCCGGCTAACTGAAAGAATGTGGGAGGCTTGGGAGGTTATTCAAGAAAATTTTATTTTAGCCCCTTCTAAATAGCCTGCATTTGCCTACTCAGTACACAAAGGGTTAGTGCTGTGCAAAAATGTGGTGTCCTTTTAAGTATCCTTTGAATCCAAGAGATCAAAAAGGATTCATTAAGTCATCAGTCCATTACCTCCAATAGGGTAGATATTTAACCATGAGCATAAGTTTCAATCATTGGTCTAATAGTAATGATAAAAAGGCAGTCCACTGTAAAGAATACTGCCTCTGTGGTCAGAGAACCTGGATTCAGGTTCTACCTCTGATACAAAACTATTTGTATGACCTCAGTTTCTTCATCTGTAAAATGGGGGGAGGGTGGACTTGATGTCTTCTGTGGTCCTTTCCAGCCGGGAGTCTACAATCCAACTGGAATTCACAGGGTACTTTAAAGTTTACAAAGCACTTAAAACACAATAACTTTTGGGATACTCAACCAATCCTGGGAAGCAAGTATGATGGATGTTGTTTTGTTCCCATTTTTTGTTTTTGTTTTTGTTTTTTAATTCAGACCTTTGACTTCAAAGGGCTGAGGCAGCTGGGTAGCTTTGTGGATAGAGTGCCAGGCCTGGAGTCAGGAAGTTCTGAATTCAAATACAGCCTCAGATATTGACAAGTTGGATGACCCTGGGCAAGTTATATAACCTCTGTTTGCCTTGGTTTTCTCATCTGTAAAATGGGAATAATCATAGCACCTACCTTGCTAGGTCGTTGTGAGGATCAAATGAGATAACATTTGTAAAAAAAACACCTAGTACAGTGCCTGGCACACAGTAGGTACTATATAAATGTTTATTCCCTCCCCTTCTCCCTTTCTGTCAAAGGTGATTTCTTACCTAGCCTTAATCACTGAATGGGCATTGTCTCAGTCAAACTGAAACCTGGGAAAGCCCTTTGCTTAAAAAGGCCAAGGTCTCCCACTGCATCTGGGGCCA